GTATTTCCTGAGAGCATTGCTCTTGTATTGCTAAAAATCCAATTGTATATATTCTTCATTTTGCCAAAGTTGTTTTCATTAAGGATGGAAACGCTTCTCGTGCCCAAGCTAAAAGTGCGTTACAATAAAATGTTAAGCCCCGATGACTATTAGTTACAGATTCGATGGTATTTCTTCCCAGCTTCTTAACGAATACCATTTGTCTTCTTTAACTGCTTTTGCTGAAATAAACTCTCAATGCAGTGAGCAGAAGTGGAAGGCAATCAGATATTACATGATCTTTGCATTTGTCTTTGGTTCCAATATACTTAATTTGCATTAGCATTTGGGCACTTACTCTGCCCGTGTTGTAATAAGCCATTTGCATTGCGTCTTCATCCTAAGACTCCTTGAAGCAAGAACCCATTTTAACAAACTATATCTAGCATTGTGCTTTGCTTTTTCCTTAAAAATCAGGTGTTGCAGAGGCGCCAGTGTGGCTCAGTCAATTAAGCATCTGCCTACGGCTCAGGTCATGATCTCAGGGTCCTGGGATCGAGTCCATGTCCCACATGGGGCTCCCCGCTCAGTGGGGAGTCTGCTTCTCCCTCTGTGCCACCCCTTGTGCTCTCTCGCGCGCGCTCAAATAAATAAATAAATAAAATCTTTTAAAAAATAAATAATCAGGTCTTGCAAATACAAATGTTTTCATGTGCCAGGCATGTATCAGAAATTAATGAAGCAGGAATAATATAAAATAATAGGGAAACTGGAGAGGCATTTTTATAGAATGAAATAAAATAAAATAACATAAAATAGAATAAAACAAAACAAAACATACTCTTAGGGGAAAAAACTATAAGCTACATTAGACTATAAGACAACCTGTTTATGACATCTGTATAAATCTTGGGTGAACTGAATTAGAAGCTGAAGTAGTGCTAAGAAAAAAACTAAAAATGGAAGAACCAAAGAAATCAGGACTCAGGCCCGAGCCAGAAGTCCCACTGCTTCCAGCCCGGTCTCTATAACCCCTCGCTCGCTCTGCGTCTCCCTCCCGCAGCCATGACCCCACCACCTCCCCCTCCCTCCTCATATCATTTTCCCCAGTGCACTGCATTTGAGACCTTGATTTTTTTCTTATGGTAAAACTCACATAACATAAAATACCCCATTTTCACACTTTAACGTGTAAAATCCAGTGGCAATTTGTACATTCATGGTGTTTTGCAACCATAACCACTATCTAGTTCCAGAACATTTTCATCACCTCAAAAAGAGACCCTACCCATTAAGCAGTCCCGCCCCACACTCCTTTTCCCAGCCCCTGGCAATGACTATTGGATTTTTGTGAGACCTTTATTTTTGCTTTCCCTTGCATGCTCGGTTCAGCCAACATCGAAAGAAAATCAGAGCAGAACTCAGGTCTGATAAGATGAGAAGACAGGGCGCCTGGGTGGCTCAGATGGTTAGGCGTCTGCCTTCGGCTCAGGTCATGATCCCGGGGTCCTGGGATCGAGTCCCACATCGGGCTCCCTGCTCCTTGGGAGCCTGCTTCTCCCTCTGCTTCTCTCCCTCTGTCTCTCATGAATAAATAAATAAAATCTTAAAAAAAAAAAAAAGATGAGAGACAGACACAGAGTTAGGGCAGAATAAAGCTCCCTGGATGCAAAGTTAGGAAAGTTTCATTAGATAATTTCCCTATTGAGGTTTCTTTCCTGTTCCCCATTGGGTGTTTCTCCTTTTTGTTCCCTAAATCGTGGTCAATTATATTCTGTTGCCCCGCAAATACTTTTGGTTTATATTTTGAGTCAGCTGAAAATGAATTTAAAATGCCTGGTGTAAAATAAAATCTTTAAAAAATAAAAGAAAATAAAAAATAATATCTTTTTTTAAAAAAAGAGGGACACCTGGGTGGCTCAGTCAGTTAAGCGTCCGCCTTCAGCCCCGGTCATGATCCCACGGTCCTGGGATCAAGTCCTGCATCAGACTCCTTGCTCAGCGAGGAGCCTACTCCTCCCTCTGCCCGCCACTCCCCCTGATTGTGTTCTCTCTCTCTCTCGCAAATAAATAAAATCTTTAAAAAAATTAAAAAGTACAAAATAAAATAAAATAAAATGCCGGGTGTAAACATTCACGCATTCCGTCGTGTGCCAAAGGACTTTCCTTGGCTGACTCAGGATTGTTGACTGATGGTCTCAATCTCCTTGGAAATCACTTGGAGACTTTTGAGAAGGATCCCCCTGCAAGGCTGAATTTCTCTGAAATGGTGAATTGCCAGCTAGTTACACAATGCATTGAAAATATCTCTTGAGGTGCAGCACAATCACTATAAATCTACACAGACCAGACCTTGAGTTTCTTGGAGGTCAATCTTTAGTCACTTATTTGTGAGGCCATGGAAAATTCACTTGTACCAAATCTGGCCATTTTTCTCTAGCTCTAGGAGATAAGCAAAAAGATTTGTGCACACAAATATGAATACAGGTTAACTTCGAAGTAATACAAATGTAATTTTAAAAGTATAACCACATTTTCTACTTTTGAATTATGTCTTTGCTTTGCTTGGTAAAGATGGTCTTCTTGGGCAAATCACCTCAATTTTGGGGGATCTTCTTTGCTCATCTTTAAAATTAAAAAAGTTTACCTAGATCAGTAGTTTCTTACTCAAGGTATCAAAATCTGAACACAGGTGTTGTCTCTACTCTGAAAATAATATATCTTTCCATTCATAGGCTATCATTTTTAAAAAATATTTTGATTTTTTAGTTTAATAGATTTTGTTACATTATATTGTTTATATTTAGGAAATACAAAATTATTCATGCTAACTATAGAAAATTGGAAAATAAAGAGAAGATAAAATAAAATCACCTGTAATCCTGCCACACAGATATAGTGACTATTCACATTTCACTCATTTCACTGTGTATTCATCCACTTTTCTTTCTCTGCATACTTATACCTATGTTATATTGGCCAAGCTGAAATATACTATAACCATGATATTTTATAACTTGTGTTTTTACTTAATCATGTATCTTAAATCTTTCCCTAGATCATGAATTATTTTTCTACAAGTTTTAAATGACACTCTTATATGTGAGTACATGTTATTTTTGAATATTTAGATGGTTTCCAATATTTTATTTTTTTTAACAATGCTCCTATGAACATCAGTGATGTGATTACGTTCATATCATTGTGAATTAAGAATTGTTATTTTGGGCGTGCCTGGGGGGCTCATTTGGTTGAGCCTCTGACTCTTGGTTTCCGTTCAGGTCATGATCTCATGGGTTGTGAAACAGCCCTGCAAAGGGCTTCATACTCAGTGGGGAGTCTGCTTGAAAGATTCTCTCCCTCTTCCCCTCCCCCCACTCACTCTCTCATGCTCTCTCTCTCTAAAAGGAATTTTTTTTTTTAAGATTTTATTTATTTGAGGGAGAGGGAGAGCACAAGCAGGGGGAGGGGCAGGCAAAGGGAGAAGCAGGCTCCCCCCTGAACAGGGAGCCCCATGCAGGACTCGATCCCCAGGACCCCGGGATCATGACCTGAGCCAAAGGCAGATGACTGAGCCACCCAGCCACCCCAGCATTATGAATTTATAGTGATGTTTCAAATCCCAACTTATGATAATAAAGTTTTTACTAATTTCTTTAATTTTACATTTTATCTCTTTTTCTTTATTCATACTGGACAATCAAGCATTTTTCATGCCCAGAAAAAAAAAATGTATGAATAGTTCTTGAAAAAGAAAATGCCCTCTTATCTCTCTAATTTTTTACTTAATCTTGCATATAATAATAACATTTAAATACATAATACAAAATGAGATATAAGCAACTTATGATTGTAGTTCTTATATAATAAAACGAAACAACCTGACAAACTCAAAGCAAACAGGCCTACAATGCTAATAATGCTGAGTTCAACAACACTAATTTAACTTGACAGATAATAATGGCTTTCATAAAGTGGAGCCATTCCCTTCATTGTGACCATTGTACGGATTTGGGAGAAAGGGGGGCAGGTTCTTTGGAATTTGGTTCACTCATTCCCATGTGCCCTTCTTATGGTCTGATTTTTCACCCGTTAACTCTATTCAACTGACTGAAAACCACAGCAGACCAGCTTTATTCCATCATTTGGCCTCAATTACAAACTAGGTTGACCTCTGTTCCCATATGTTCTTATTCAACAATTGCAGATACATTGCTTAGTTCTAACACAGCCCCCATTGTAAGTCAGTACTCAGCTCCGAGGTTCAATCTGATGATCCTAAACATTACATACAAACCCTGGACATTATATATAATATGTATATATATATATATGAATAAACACACATTTTCATTTTAACTTTCCCCAATGTGAAACACTGGGGGAGCAGTAGAGCTAAGATTCAAACTCAGATCTTTCTGTTCCACTAAACCGCCCAAACTAAAATAGGCCAGTGGTTTTTCAGGACTTGGGGGAAATGAAGGCACAAGTGGTTATGATGTGCTGAGAGAGGCCTGGGATCTGGACGCAGATAATTGTAGCAAGCTCCACTACAAGCCAGCCTTGTGACTTCAGCTTCCTCATCTATAATGTGAATGGGTTAGATCATGGCCCTTTATAGTTCCAAAATTCTGTGAATTTCCTATACCAAATACCCCTTTGATGAAGAGGAATGACTTATACAATATTCTCCCTTTTTGCTGTGGAGTTTCTAATTCCATGTAAACATCAACCAATGAGGTCAAAGAAGAACTGGGCAATTATTCCAAATTTGGGAAGTGTCTGTTCCAAATAATTTAATACTAAAAGGATGACCATTTGATTGAAGGATATGATTAAAAAAAAAAACATCTATCACACTATCTTGGAATCCTGCTAAAAGTAGAAAAGACACTTTAGAAACCACTCAGAACAACCCCTCATTTTACTGATGCAGGTTTCTGTGATTTCCCCAAGACCAAACAGCTTGTTTGTACTATAGACAGATGATTTATTACCTGGGTTATTAATATCTAACTTACCGTAATGCCCTCAAAATTATCTTCTCATATTCACCACCAAAAATATAGAGGAGGAAAGCAGTATAAAAACGTGGTTAAGTATAGGCTGTGAAATTAAATTGCCGGCCTGCAAATTCCAACAGCAACACGTCCTGTGTAATGTTGAGACAATGACGTAACGCCTTCTACCTCAGTGTTCTCCATCTGTAAAATAAGGGTGACAATAACTCTACATACCCCCCAGTTAATCAGGAGAATTAAAATAGTAACCCATGTAAACTGTTTCGTATATTGCCTGGAACATAGGAGATAACCAATATTAGCCAGGATTTTAAAATTAAATTGTGTATGTAATACATTGGCTCAATTTGATTGAATGTCTCTCTTGCATTTCTTTCATTCGTATTCAGGGTCAGAATTAGTCTAAACCGATCTTACAAGGATTGTCAATCTACAAATTAGACGATGACAAAAGTGCCCACTAGGAAAACAGGAGCTCTAAAATTAATTCTAAGACTAAAACAATATAGGGCAGTTTTCCTACTGCAGTACACTAAGGTCAAAGGGTTCTCTTGAAAAGCTTGCAAAAACAACTCTGATATCACATATAAGTAACATCTCATCCACTGTTCTCCAAATTTTTGTCCCCCATTAAGCAGACGATGATTGGATTTTTGCCAGTGTATGGACATGGCTTTACCATCACCATATTTAAGTGACAGTGATTAAATCCTTTAACACATTGTGTATGAATTTCAAAGGCCTTTATGACTGTTTATCTCATCTTTATGGACCTTTAAACTTAATAGCTTTGGTGGCAATAAAAAAGTGACTTCCAAAAGTCAAGCATCTCTTCAAGGCCACCGCTAGGCTGTTCAGCTGATCAAAATTATGATGTCACCCAGACACAGAGCTCCATGTGTCCTTGTCTTCAACTTGTCTACTAACAGACAATGTGTGGGGGGTGGGAGGGGTGTGGGCAGAATTTGTGTTCTGTCATTAAACAAGGACATTAGTCAAACAAAGTATCAGTTCAGTTCAGGGAACACAAATGTTGCAATTTTGCTTGGGTTTAGTAGTTTGGGGATAGTACATAGGTTCATTTAAAACTCACAGTACAGTAAGTCATGTCAGAATCACCCGTTCCTCTCCTTCCCCTTCTGAAATGTTAAGGTGGCCAGTCTGAAACACAGAGCCCTGGATGATTATAATCATAAGAACCAGCTCAGGGCCACATTCCCTGACATACCATTCCTAACCATTCATTTTTCCAACTGTCATTCTCCTTCCCTTTCCCTGCGAATAAAATGTCCCCCCTCTCCCAACTCCTGAGACCTTCATTAATGGCCTCTCTTCTCCACTAGCCCACCCGCTGACTTGCACACAGAGACAACACACCCTCTTTCTCAGGCTCAGCTACTCATCCCCACCCCCACATACCTACCACCCCACACTTACACCATGTTAATAATTATTCCTTTGGACCAAATGTAACCATTTCACCAGGCAGTCCTTACTCTGAACTAGCAAGCCAAGGAAAATCCAAGACACAGCCGCAGGATGCCAGACAGATACAATTTTGCTAAAAGAGGCATGAACACTTTCACTATCTATCCAAAAGACACTTAGGGGCAAAAAGAGTAAGTTAAGGTGGATTAATATGCCTAATGATTTGAGGGATGAAAAAATTTCTGAGGACACCATCACATTTCCTATAAATGCATTATAACCCAGTTTTCTAAGAAGTACTGTAAAATAATGTTAAAACTGGAGCCAGGGAAAAAAAAAGCTATAGAATTAATTCTGTGATTCTTTTCACTGAGTCACATTGATATGGTGAGCAAATTGACAATCTACTTAACCTTTCCAAGACCAAATTTCTCAACCTCAGGAGTGTTGGTATTTTAGAGTGGATAATTGTTCGTTGTGTAGAAAAGTTAGTGGTATCCCTGGCTTCTGCCCAGTAGATGCCAGTATCCCCCTACCTCCAGTTGAGATCATCAAAATGTCCCCAGACATTGCTAAAAATCCCCTAGGGGGCAAAATCTTCCCAGATTGAGAACCACTCTCATAGATTAGACAGAAGACTGCTTGTCTTCTGATCAGGGATCAGTAAAACTACAGCCTATATAGTCCAAAAGGAAAACCCATTGCCTGGTCTTTGTAAATAAAGTTTTATTGAAACACAGTTACACTCATTTATTTACTTAACATCCATGGGTGCTTTCTCCCTAGAACAGCAGAGTCTAGGAGTGGTGACATTGTGTGATATATTGTATGACCTGCATAACCAAAAATATTTACTATCCAGTTCTTTAGAAAAAAAGTTTGCCAACCTCTGCCCTAGTCTACTGGTTCCAAACATCTTTTTAGTGATGACATCTTTTTATAATGAAATCTTATATAAAACTTGTGTCAGACGGGCTCCAGATGGAACATTCAACTCGGGTAATTTGAGGAAGTGAAGCATATGCAGAATAACTTATAAAGGCAATTTCAAAGGTGTGGCAGAATATAGAGAAATCCCAAAGGGCTAAGAAAGCTGGGTGTTCTTACCACCTCTAGGCCTGAAGGGGAGAGAACGAGACGACTCTGTAGGAAGGGAACCAGAGGACTCAATGTCCCCCTCACATTTTCCCTCCCTCCAGTCTCACACGTGTGTTCCCTAATGGCCAAATCCAAACCGAGGCCAGAGGACAAGACAATGCCTTGAGGGGATCCTTACAGGTCAGTCTCCCAGGTCATAGGTGGAGAGTGGACCCGGGGGGCAAACAAAAGATACCCAGCATCAAGCCCTAATATCTGAAACTGATCAAAATCAAGCATCTGTGATGCTTAGTGGGGGAAGGTATTAAGATCAGCACAGATTGGCCTGACTCTGACATACTCATCAAGTCGAAACAGGGATCGCAGTTTGAAAATCCTCTTCTGAATTCTCTGCTGACCTTCTCACTTCATTTGCCACCTCTCTGAAACAAAATCCCGTAGTCAGATATGTCAGTGCTGTTTTTCCCAACAAACTGCGATCCTTAAACCCACTGGCACCATTTAAACCTTTGAACCCCAGCAGGTACCAGACTCCCCCACTCCCACCCACCCCAATCCTCTGCCTTCTCTGCTCACGTCTTCAAATTGCTAAACATTGATAGAAACATTTTCAATACGCTGATTTCTGAATCCACCTCAATGTCATCATATCGAGGCAATAATAGGAGTCTGTTTGCTCAGCTTCCCATGACTTTCAGTCCTCAACGAAAACTGAGCTCAAGGTGGCTCAGTCGTTAAGTGACTGCCTTCGGCTCAGGTCATGATCCCAGGGTCCTGGGATCGAGCCCCGCATCGGGCTCCCTGCTCCGCGGGAAGCCTGCTTCTCCCTCTCCCATTCCCCCTGCTTGTGTTCCCTCTCTCGCTTTCTTTCTCCCTGTCAAATAAATAAAAAAAATCTTTAAAAAGAAAATAAAAAATGAAAACTGAGCTCAATATCTTAATCACCAAATCTGATAGCCTTTTCCTAAAACCTCATCTGCCTTAACCTCTCTGGAGCCAACAGGCTCATCCCTTGCTCTCATCCTTTCCTTCCTGACTGATTTCTTCCTTTGGCTTCCATAGCACCATATAGTCTAGGGTTTTTATCTCATACTTTGACCACCTCCTCTTTGCACCCTTTGCAGGTACTTTTTTTTTTTAATTTAAATTCAATTAACATACAGTGTGTTATTAATTTCAGAGGTAGAGTTCTGTGATTCATCAGTTGCATATAACACCCAGTGTTTATTACATCACGTGCCCTCCTTACTGCCCATCACCCAGTGACCCCATCCCCACACCCCACTCCCCTCCAGCGACCCTCAGTTTATTTCCTAGAGTTAAGAGTCTCTTATGGTTCATCTCCCTCTCTGATTTCATCTTATTTTATTTTTCCTTCCCTTCCCTGTGATCCTGTTTTGTTTCTTAAATTGCGTATATGAGTGTAAATGATATGATAATTTTGTTTCTCTGATTGAGAAAACACTCTCTAGTTCTATCTACATCGTTGCAAATGGTAAGATTTCACTTTTTGATGGATGAGTACTATTCCATTGTATATATACACCACATCTTCTTTATCCATTCATCTGTTGTTGGACATCTGGGCTCCTTCCATAGTTTGGCTATCGTGAACGTTGCTGCTATAAACGTTGGAGTGTGGGCACCCCTTCGGATCACTTTATTTGTATCTTTTGGGTAAATACCTAGTAGTGTAATTGCTGGGTCATAGGGTAGCTCTACTGTTAACTTTTTAAGGAAGCTCCATACCGTCTTCCAGAATGGCTATACCAGCCCCTTTACAGGTACTTCTGATTGAAGGAAAGAATTTTCTCCAAAGGACCTAATAATAAATCATGACCCCAACAGTACAATGAAAGCAAATAAAATGAGTAGTTTCAGAAGGCTATGTCTTGTAGAACACCAGTAACGTTTCTTGGAGAATTAAAAATCTTGTAAATAAGTAGTTTTCCATACAACTACTAAATAACAAGATATCATTTCCCTCCAAACCTTCCTCAAACCTTCCTCCATTACTCATTTCTCTTAATGTTCCCATTTACTCAGATTTGAAACCTCAGACTGAGGAGAGACTGGAATTTTAGGCCTGGAAGAGAAAGTCATCTACTTCAATTTCAGCATTCTACGGATGAAAATTAACTTCCCATTGCCTTTGCCTTGGTAAGGATTCTAAGGAAATATTGCAGCCCCTCCTTTTATTAGCCATTCCTACTTGGCCTGCGAAATCTTATTATAGTGTTAACGCTCTCCTCTGTGAAGGGCTACCAGTTCTCTACAGGCTTTAGTCTGTGTGATAGTTAATTTTGCATCAATTTAACTGGGCCACGGGCACCCAGACATCTGGTCAAACATAAACAGGGGTGTGTTGGATGGTGTTTCTGGTTTTTAATGTGTTGAATCGATAGATTACATAAAGCAGTTGCCTTCCCTAATATGGGTGGGCCTCATCCAATCAGTTAAAAGTCTAAATAGAACAAAAAAAATGCTGAGTAAGAGAGAATTCTTTCCACCTGGCTACCTTGAAGCTGGGACATGGGTTTTTGTTTTTTTTTTTTTTTCTGCCACTTGCATACTCAAATGGAAACATTGGCCCTTTCTGAGACTTGAGCCTGGCCAGCCTTCAGACTGAAACTACACCATCAGCTCCCTGGGGTCCCCAGCTTGCCAACTGCAGAGCTTGGGACTTATCAGCCTCCATAATCATGTGAGCCAATTCCTTATAATAAATCATATCATCAGCTATATATATGTATGTATGTGTGTGTATATATATGATTTATATATAGGCAGTATAAACTGCTTGAATTTGAATATTGACTCTGGCATTGACAAGTTTTGAGAACTTGGGCAATGTATTCGATTTCTGTTCTTTAGCTTTCTCATATGTAAAATGGGAGAAACATCTGCTTCACATGGTTGTGAAGATTATGTGAGTTAATACATATAAAATGCTTAGACTAGGGCCTGGCACAAAGGGCATGCTGAAAAAATACTAGCTGTTTCTCCTCCTCCTCCTCATTATTATTATTCCTCCCTCGCTCCCTCCTATCTCTCCATCCTTCCTCCCTTCCCTCTCTCCCTCCCATGCTCCCCACTCAAACAGCAGTGACAGAGCGGGACCTCCTTGTAGGGCAGGAGAGGGAAAGGGAAAAAGGAGTTATACCAAAACTCCTTTTAATAGGCACACAGGGAGAAAAAGCTGGGAACCCTTATACCTCAATAACTTTAGTTTCATCATAGTTGGAATTCATGATTAACCCTTGCAATCCTTGAACACCTAGCTACTTTAATTCCCACAGCTGGTTCATGAACTTCCTTTGTACCTGTTTTTTGCTTTGCTGAAATTATTTCCCCCATCAGCTCATCTTACCTGCCCATCTGGTGAACTCCTCCCTGTCAAGCCTACTGATCAGGAAGTCTTCCCTACAGCAGCCCCTACTCTCACCCCTGCAGAGCGCACCTCCACACCCTCCAAACTACCACTCTGCCCTGCACATTTCTAGTATGGTGCTTGTCACAGGGAATGGTGACACTTAATTTTTGTACCATATCTGCTGACTCCACTACTCAGTGAACTGAGGCCAAAACCCCACTTTGCATACCTACCTAGCACAGAATAGACATCCCATAAGTTCTTGTTGACTGAATAAGTCAATGGATGAATAAAATGGGAAAAAATTCCACTTTGCCCTTATTGAGTTGGAACTCCCAATAGTACACCCTGTTGGATATTTTAAACTTGGTTTTGAAAATATTGGACTAAGACTCAAAACTGTTAGTCAGGATTCCCCACAGAAACAGAACCATTAAGATAGTCTAGAAAACATAAACTAAACTATACTAACGGAAAGCAGATCAGTGGTTGCCTGATAGAGAGAACTTTTTGGGGTGATAGAAATGTTCTGTATATTGATCATGGTAGTGGTTTCACAGAATATATATTTGTCAAAACTCGTTGAAGTGTACCTTTTTTAATTTATTATATTTTAAAATTCCCTATGATGTACTTTTTATCTCTGTGACTTATTTTGTAACTGGAAGTTTATACCTTTTAAATAGATAGAGTTTATTATATGTAAAACATATCCCAATAAAGTTGATTTAAATTTATTGAAACCTAAAAATCAAAACAAAACAAAAAGCCTAGGCATTTTAGCACCAGAGGCTGGCATCAACTACTATGCTAACTCCTGGAGTTTTTTATTTAGAATACACCCTAGGGCACTAATCTTCAGAACATTTACAAATTTGTTTGACAAAGAACTTCGAACGTCTCTTTAATAAAAATAACTCAACCCCAGAAAGCATAATCTCTATGATAGTCACTAAAAACATTTCAATGTCATATTTCATGAACTGATCAAAATATTTTAAGTAATATAAATACATAAATTTTTGCAGAATACATGAATTTTTATTTTTAATCCAACCGTGGTAGCCAACCTCAAAGATGACCACCAATGATTCCGTCTCCTGGAATCCATACCCTTGTATGGTCCTTTCCCACATTTTACCAGGATTGGTCAGTGTGACTAATAGAATATGCAGAAGTAATGGTCCTAAAATTAGATTGTAAAAAGACTGAATATCCCATCTTGGGTGCTCTTTCTCCCACTCCCTCCCTCCCTCTCAGATCACTAGCTCTGGGAGAAGCCAGTGGCCATGTCATGACATGAGTTGGCTTGCCTTTGGAGAAGCCCACATGGCAGGAACTGAAATCTCAAGCTATAAGGCAGCCAGGAACCGTGAGGCCTTCCAATAGCCACATGAGTGAGCTTGGAAGGTCATCCGGCCCCAGTCAATCTGTCACATGCGATGACAGCCCCAATCAACAGCTGACTACAACCTCATGGAAGATTGTTGTGTACTTAATTGTGTCTTCTCAAAAATTCATATTTTGAAGTCCTGATTCCCATTACCTCAAAGTGTGACTGTATTTGGAGAGGGCCTTCAAAGAGGCCCTTAAATTAAAATGAGGCCATTAGGGTGGGACCTAATCTAATCTCAGTGGTATCCTCATAAGAGGAGGTGATTTGCACTCAAAAAGAAACAGCAAGGTCGGTGTGCACAGAGAGGTGGCCATGTGAAGTAGTATGGAGATGGTGGCCATCCGCAAGCCAAGGAGAGAGGCCTCAGAGAAAACCAACCCTGCCAGCACCTTGATCTTAGACTTTTAGCCCCCAGAACTGTGAGAAAATAAGCTTCTATTATTTGAGCTACTCAGTCAGTGGTATTTTGTTATGGCAGCTTTCACAAATAAGTACAGAGACGCCAGAAACACCCAGTTAAGCTGCTCCTGGATTCTGACCCACAAAAACTGTGAGATAATAAATGATTGCTTTAAGCTGCTAAATGTGGGGGTAATTTGTTATTCAGCAATAGATAAGTAATACATCACCTAATTACTTGAATTCCTTGTGATATGGTGACAAGTGATTTGCCTTTCTAAATCTGTGTTGTGATTAAATGCCATATTGTTTTTGGCATATGTTACAAATAATTCTTTTGTTGCCTGAACTGTCCAGAAACTATTCATTTGTGGAACCTGTTTCCATCCACATTATTTAATTTTAAAGGGAAGAAAATAGTATATAAACAATGGTTAACTATACGTATTTTAGAAACAATCTATTTTACAAAATTTTCCCTCAATACTTTTGCCTCTTTTCTTTTTTTATCAAGCTATAATCAACATATAACATTGTGAACGTTTAAGGTGTACATGTATTGATTTACATACAACCAATACATACACTCATGTATTGCCATATGATTGCCACCATCGCTAACCATAGCTAACACCCTATCATGTCACATAATTATCATTTCCTTTTTGTGATGAGAACATTTAAGATCTAGTTTCCTAACAACTTACAAATACATAATACAGTTTGGTTCACTATAATCACAATGCTGTGTATTACATCCCCCACAATTTATCTTCCAAGTGCAAGTTTGTACCCTTTGACCAACATCTCCCCAATACCCCTGTCCTCAGCTCCTGGCAACCACCATGCTACTCTCTGTTTCTACGAGTCTTGCTTTTTTAGATTCCACATATAATTGATAACATATTTGTCTTCCCCATCTGACTTACCTTTTCAGATATTTAACACAGCCTGTATAAACTCATCTTATTTTCCTCTTGAAAGGAAGTTAGTTCTCAGAAATAAAGGAAATCCCTCTATCCCCTTGTATCACTACTCATCCTACATAACTTACTAGAGGTTCTTTAAACTGTTTTTCAGTTCTGATGATGAATATTAAGCCAATACATCTATCCCCTGATTCATTTACTACCTATTCACTAGAGTATTCATTTACTTATTTATGTATTTTTTAAGTAGGCTCCACACGGGGCTTGAACTCATGATCCTGAGATCAAGACCTGAGCTGAGATCAAGAGTTGGATGCCCACCTGACTGAGCCACCCAGGTGCTCCACTCGAGTGTCTATTTAATGCCCAGTGTGTGTCAGGCACTATTTAGGCATTGAGGATACAGGAGGAAGCAAAACAGATGAAAAAGCCCTGTTCACAGAGCTTGTGGAAGGAGACAGAATAAACAAGAAAAATAAGTAAAATATATAATACTTCACTGGATATATGATAAACAGGAAAATCACACCATCAGTGCTAGAAACATTTTAAGCCATCACTAGCTCACTTTAAACAGTGGGTAAAAATGTGAGGATGTTGGGCTGGTGAGTAAAGGAGTTTCTTTTTTATTTTTTTAAAGATTTATTTATTTATTTTGAGCGAGTGAGAACGAGAGAGGGGAGGGTCAGAGGGAGAAGCAGGCTCCTCGCTGAGCAGGGAGCCTGATGCGGGACTCGATCCCGGGACTCCAGGATCATGACCTGAGCCAAAGGCAGTCGCTTAACCAACTGAGCCACCCAGGCGCCCAGTAAAGGAGTTTCTTATAAACAATTCCTTACTGATAATTTTTAGTAAATCTTGTAAACTTTCAGGGGTGTAGTGGTATATTCTTGTTTTAGTGTGGCTCATTTTTAAGCTAATTTTCATGGTTTGTCTCAATACGCAGTTCCTTTTTGTAGTTATGTTGAGGATTACAATGAGAGTTTCTCAGCAGAAAAATTGTAGATATTGCAATGCCTTCATGTGTGAAAATTGGCATTAAATTAAAAGCATATTGGGCATTAATGTTTTCTCCTTCATAATGAGATTATAATTACAGGAAACACTATTGCCAAGTGATGATGGCCCTTCCTCCCATTATATTCTGGGAAGATAGCTTTAAAATGAAGCATGACATGGCCATGGTCAGAGGAGATGTTTTATACTTAGCTTCAGAACATAGAAATATCTCTGACCTAGGGGCGCCTGGGTGGCTCAGTCAGTTAAGCTGCTGACTCTTCATTTCAGCTCAGGTCATGATCTCAGGGTCCTGGGATCGAGGCCTGTGTCAGGCTCCATGCTCAGTGGGGAGTCTACTTGAGGATTCACTCTCTCCCTCTGCCCCCCCCCCCCACCCCGCTCCTGTGCAATCTCTCTAAAATAAATAAATAAACCTTTAAAAAAAAATTTCAGATCTAACTTATCCATGAAAAATGCTGCACATGTGTGTATGTGTGTATAAGAGAAAGAGAGAGCCAGAGAAAGAGACAGAATATTCTGGACATTATACATACATGGTTATAGACAGAGAAAAGAGAACAGGAAAACAAGCAATAATAAAATCCTTGGTGTGTGGTCAGGCATGAAGTTGTAGCTTGGGCCTTCAGTGACCATAGACATGAGTTAACAAGCCAATAAAGGGGGTGTCCATTTTAGATGTTCAGAGGCCAAAGCACTTAAAACAAAGTGATTTACATGGCCAAGTTCCCCAGAGTCAGGATCATACCCTTATTCCCCAAGATGCCTTAAACATTGAGCCGAGCCATCTGTACAGTAGAAGAAATGATCTCCACAAAGTTATCAAGACCACCTCCCTACACAGTACTATAAATGCCACTGAATAAAAGAAAGTGAAAATGATCAGTAGTGGGTGGCAATCTTCTTTCCTCCCAGCACCTCCCAAAACGACAAGCCTTAGACTAAACAGTAGATGCTCTTTATTTTTGTTATGAGTCAGGTTTGGCAATTTCTCTGTAATCAGAAATATTCATCGGTGAGAAAGTAAATTTCTATCTAAAGATATGAATGTTTTCACAAAAAACAACGTTCACATCAGGGAACATTAGTCACAAAACATACCAACAAAGTGCTGTCAGCGTAGTTTCTGGAATGGTGGTGGGCCTGCAGGTAGGAATTCACTAACAGGAAAATCACAGCAAATCATTATCAGATATAATTCTGGGTTCAGTCTAAGTCCATCGCTTATTGGCTGAGTGACCTTGAGTTGAGTGACTTGACTTGCTCAATCCTCAGTTTCTTCATGTGTAATAATGTCACAAAGGAGGAAAATAACGTTCCCTCTGCTTTCTGAGTTCTAGCTCAGACCCCTGTAGGAAAAGACAGATGAATAGGAGAAAAACAAATAGAAGTTTATTCACATGTGTGCCTCATGATGCATGAGAGATCCCCAGGGGAAAACGAGTCACTCTCTGGAGACATTCAGAACTGGGACTTCAATACCATCTTCAGCTTGAGACAAAAGAAAGAAAGGTGTGCAGAGGCCAGTTACAGGCAAGTTATTAGGAAATGCACGAGAAACACGGATAAAACTATTAGGCAGATTTCAGCCTGGTGCCTTCCCAGTTGATAAGACTCTGTGACTGAGTCATCCTTCTCTTCCAGATACCCAGAGGAAAACACTCTTGTAAACTGAGAGTTTCTTTATAAGTGTAAATTTCTTTTACAAAAGGGTAACTTCTACTTCAGAGCTTCTCCCGTCCCTGCTGCTTCTCACATAATCAGCTCAAAATAAAACTTATGCCCAGGAGGCAGAGTTTGGGGTGGCTTATTCAGCTACCCTTCAAAAGTGCCTGCATCCTGGGGTTGCCAAGAGGATTAAGAGGGCTAATACAAATAATGAATTCACAGAGCACAGCTGGAACATGGAAAGCACCCAATAAAAGTTAGCCGTTACTATTTCCGAGCAATGGTTTTCAACGTGTGGTCCCTGGACCAGCAGCGGTAACATCACCTGGGAACTTGTCAGAAATAGAAAATGTCCCAGACCCCTGAATCAGAAATGCTGGGGCAGGATCCAACACTCTGCTTTAAGAAGCCCTGCGGGTGATTCTGATGCGCACTGAAGTTCGAGAACTATGCTTGTAGAATATAGAGTAAGACAAAACATATATTCTGCTAGAATTTATTACTAAGAATTTCTGGGTTTTTGTGAATATTTAAATGCAGGAGAGAGTTTGATTTCATTTTTTTTTCCTAAATGCAGTGTCTTGGAACAGTAAGATTTCTGTAGGATAGCTCTTTCCATCTTATTTTTGATTTTGCTAGATAGAATACGTCACACCACACAACCGTGTTCCAGGAGATCTATTATTAAAGTGTCTATTTTGTAAAGCTGAAGCTACAATGAAAAAGCTCATTTAAAAGAGGGAGAGCCTATGGTGTTGGTGGTCATCAAGAGACTGTACATTGGAACACAGGCCAACTGTCATTAGTCTTATTTCCATAAACGATATTGTACGACTCTAAGATTGGAGCATAGATAGGCATGCGCTGAGTCAGTTTCAGAGCCAGGTGCTGGGTGTAAAACAGGATTCTGAAGTCTATAGGTCCTATTGCTTGAATAGAGTCAGGAAGGTGTAGACACGGTTAAAGGTAAAATCGCTATTTAGAACTAAGTGTACCAAAGTGTAGATTTTTGCCACTGCCATAGAGATTTCCTTAAGTTCACATTTAGTCATGTCACTGTACAGCTTAAAAGACTTAAATGACTCCCTTAAACCTGGCTTGTGAGAAACCTGGCATCTGGCCGACCTGAGGCATGAACTCCAATCCTGTAGTTAACACCTCCTCCATGGAGCCTTCCCTGGCAGCCCGCCCTCCATCAGTAGGACGTCAGCCCCTCCTAACTCGGAGCTTCCTAAGCATGGTCTGCAAACCTCTGGAAGTCATTTTTACATCACATTTAATAATTGTTTGAATGTCTGGATCTCCACAAGACTTTTACTTCACTTTTACTGACATCAAGAAGCACATTTTCATTTTTGTTTTTCCAGCTTTTGGCATAAAGCCCAGCACCAAAGAGACACTTAGTAAATTAAGACTTCCCATGGATCTAAAATGCGAGATCTGTGTGTGAGCCAAGGATCAGCCCAGGAAAACCCAGCGATCAGCCCAGGAAAACCCAGCAATCACCCGAAGCTTCTCTCCCCCTGTGGAAGGACCCAAATCTTTGAATTTCGAGAAAAAGCTCTGCCACTTCCAAGATTCAAGTATCATCCTCCTCTAGAAGATGTGATCTCCAAAGACAGAACATCTTATTTGTCACTGCTGTCTTCTGACAGACACAAAAATGCATTTCATGACGATAGTCTGACCCCAGGGCTGCCCAGGTGACTCAGTCTATTAAGCATCCGACTCTAGGTTTAGGCTCAGATCAAGATCTCAGGGTCTTGGGCTCCAGCCCCGCATTGGGTTCCATGCTGAGCATGGAGCCTGCTTAAGATTCTCTCTCTCTCCCTCTCCCTCTGCCCCTTCCCCTCTTCTAAAAAGAAAAAAAATAAAATAAAAAAGATATTCTGACCCCAAAGCTACTAAATTTGTTAGTTCATATTAGATTGAAACTCCAATTTTTTTAAATGATTTTCTTTTTTTTTTAAGATTTTATTTATTTATTTGAGAGAGAGAGAGAGCATGAGAGGGGGGAGGGTCAGAGGGAGAAGCAGACTCCCCACTGAGCGGGGAGCCCGATGCGGGACTCAATCTCTGGACTCCAGGATCATGACCTGAGCTGAAGGCAGTCGCTTAACCAAATGAGCCACCCAGGCGCCCCTGAAACTCCAATTTTTATCCCAGGCTCTAAGTCATGAGCTTTCTAGCTTCAAGATTTAAGTCAAAGCTGCAAAATCAACTGGTCTAGCAATTATAAAACAGCTGACCCCACATATCTCAGCCGATGGAGTGATCCTCCTGGCTCCAGAATCATGGTAATTATTTTCTTTTACCCAACCCGCCCCCCCCATCTGACTTCGCTCGCAGCCCTGCTACTATTTCACAAGTTCTCAGATGGGCATTTTAGAAGACTTTCGCTTCTCAGCTTGGCTTTGCTCTGGGCCCCTGCTATTTTACTCTTGCTAAATCATATAGCCGGAAGCATTTGGTCCGGGGTGGCTGGAACACCCAGCCAGTGGCAAATCGAGCCAGTTCCTTCCTTGGAGTACTCAATGCTTAGGAGTCCCAACACCTTGAATTAATTACGAATTGTTTGAGAATATCTTATTTGTTTGATGGCTCACGATCGTCTTGTGTCTACAGCCATGTCTCTTAGGCCAAAAGATACATTTCCAGTGTTCGAGTGAATGGGAATAGTGGATAGATATGTATGGAATGACAATAACACCCCTCACCCTTTCCTACCCCCATTAAATACCCAGCTCCTCACTGTCGGCCTTGAAAAACCTATTGACAGTTCCCTGTTGCTGATTCTGAGAGGTCTGAGGCTCCTACTTTATTTTTCTTTTTTTTTTAAGCATTTATTTATTTGAGAGAGAGAGTCAGAGAGAAGGCATGAGGTGGGGGGGGCAGACGCGAAGTGGGAGAGCTAGGTTCTTGTCTCACAGACGGCAGATGCCCAACCAATTGAGCCATCCAGGCACCCCTGAGGCTCCTCCTTTCTTGGAAACTTCTGTGATGCTCTTTAGCAATGACCAATGGAAGCTGCAGTTCTTCATCCTTGCAGGGCTCTGTAAGGACTAATTCAGGTAAAATAAATAAAGCAACTGGTTGGCGTACAATACACACATTGGAAATAACCAATAAATGATAGTTATTATTGCTTTGGATTTTGGAGGCTTTATTAATTTCCTGGGGCTGCCATAACAAGTATCCCTAATTTGGGATAAACAAATCCCTAAATTGGCTTAAAATAACAGATATTTGGGGTGCCTGGGTGGCTCAGATGGTTAAGTATCTGCCTTCAGCTCAGGTCATGATCTCTGGGTCCTGGGATCCAGCCAAGCCTTGGGCTCCCTGCTCAGCGGGGAACCTCCCCCCCCTCCCACCCACCCCCTGCTAGCGCTCACTTGAGCACTCTCTCTCTCTCTCTCCCTGTCTCTCTCAAATGAATAAATAAAATCTTTAAAAAGTAATAACATTTATCACCTCACAGTGCTGGAGGCTAAAAGTCCAGTATCAAGGTGTTGGCAGGATCCTGCTTCTGAGTAAGGGACAGGTGGGGCTAGGTAGGGAGAGATAGATAGGGGGCTATGTGATCAGGCTCACAGAAATCCCAAAAATGTGAAGGTGTGGGGAAACCAGAGATAAAGGGACAAATCGGAGCACCCTACCCTAGGCGTGTGGGGTGGAGGACCACCCTGCCCTAGCCAGTGTGGGGTGGGTGTCTTTATGACATCACCCGTAGCCAACAAAGAATAATCAGACCCTGAAAAGGAAGTAAGCCACTGAAGGTGTTATCCAATAGAGATGTTAAAAGGATTTAAGTTCCCTGGTTAGCTTTTTATAAAAGACCAACCCTAAAGGCCCTCCTTGGCAACCCTGTCAGGACCCCTCTCACTCTTGAGAGCTTTTTCTGTATCTTCACTTGATAAACTTCTATCGCTTTACTCACTCTCCTTTGTCTGCAAGATTCATTCTTTGACTCTGAGACAAGAACCTAGCTCTTCTACTTCACTTTCTCTGATGGCTCTAGGGAAGGATCTTTCCTTGTTTCTTCTAGCTCCTAGTGGTTGCTGACAATCCTTGGTTCCTTGGCTTCTAGATGAACCATTCCAGCCACATGATTGCCTTCTAGGTGTCTTCACATAGCCCTCCCTCTGTGCATATTTGTCTCTGTGTACAAATGTCCCTTTTTTATAAGGACTCCAGCCATACTGGATTAGGACCAATGACCTTATTTTAACTTTATTCCCTCTATAAAAACTATGTGAGAACTTCAACACACCTTTTGGGGAGGACACCATTCAATCAAGAACAGAAGAGAAGGGTAGTGGAACATGTCAACACAAAATGCAACTACAAGAGTTGAGGACATGCCACTCCACACGAGGCCACTTTGATAGACTGATTATTTTGAGCTGCCTGCCCCTGAAAAACATCAAATGCAGGAAGAGGTTTTCTTCTGAACTCCCCTCATCTGCCTAAACACAGGTCCTCCGAAAGGAAATCAATTGTCATAAATCCCCTTCCTGAGAGGTTTATTAACCAGGGAAGAAGGACTCTTGTCACAGGACCGGAGACTAGAAGTTGACGTAACATCCAGACAAGCTTTGTCACAAACTGCCACACACCCCCATCTATCCTTCCGAAGGACCTATTCATCTTTTCTAAAATCCTTTACTCTCTTCCAAAGAAGCCTTATCCTGTCTCCCTTTTCCCTATTAAGATGCTATTTAAGCTTGAATTCTAAGCCACCTCGGAGCGTTTCTCATTTTTCCGGGGTCTCTCCCACGTAAACATGAGTTATACATGTTAATAAACTTCTGTTGGCTTTCCTCTTGCCTTCTGTCTTTTATTACAGAGGTCTTAGCTAGAACTCACAGGGTAGAGGGGAAATTACTTTTTTCTCCCCTGCAAAGGCAGAGTAACCTGCCCATTGTGGTAAAAATATAGAATGGTATTTTGCTTTTCTAATAACTGACACAATTTTGTTTCATTGGTCTCCCTTTTCTTATTGGGGAGCGGGATTCCCTAACTATATTTCATTCTAGTATTAGAATTCTTCATTCCCCTTTGGTTGTTAAACCAGTCCAACACGTTACCGCCTCGGGCTCTGTGTGTCCCCCATGTGCCTCTGCTTGGGCTGGGGAGAAGGTGGTAAACCAGCTCTCCTGGGGAGAGAAAATCAAAAGGCCCCAGTCTGTAGCATTTGCTGGGGTCCACTGTGTACTGAATGTTATCTTGAATACTCCCACTATGGCTGACTCAAGCTACCCATGAACGACGGGCAAAATTCCTGAACATTTAAACTTCATCTCATGAACAGATATGAATAGTTTCCAGTATTCACTGAAGCATGGTCTCCTTTCTCACGACTGCTTTCTCCCTTTCTCCTCTCCCCATTCTCCAACCTGTGACTGCCCCCCGAAACTTCAGACAATAGGTGGGAGGGGGCAACACTGACATTTGAGAAGTTACAAGCTACTGACAGCAATTCTGACATCCCTTTTGGAAGCGATGGCTTCTCCACCACCAGCATGGCTGGGCCATCAGTCCCCTTGCATGGCAGGTGTCCACACAGGTGGGTCATCAGTCCCCTTGCATGACAGGTGGATGTGCATGTGCTGGATCATTGGAGAAATCTGAGGGGCCTTTTACTGCACTGTCTCTGATTTGGAAAATCCAGCTTTAACTTGGCCCCCTTACACCCATTCCCCCAGATCTTTCCTTGGGAAATTCAATTTACAGACTTTCTTTTTTTTAAGATTTATTTACTTATTTTAGAGAGAGAGAGAAAGACAGGGAGAGAGAACACAAGTGGGGGAAGGGCAGAAGGAGAGGGGGACAAGCAGACTCCCCACTGAGCAGGGAGCCTGATGTGGGACTCGATCCCAGGACCCCAAGATCATGACCTGAGCCAAACGCTCAACCGACTGAGCCATCCAGGCGCCCCTAATCTACAGACTTCCTAATACTGCGATCCACATACCCACTGGTCAGCTTTTTTGGAGATATCTGCAAGAAAACTGTCACCCTATCTACCTTCTTTGGCACTCACCTGATGGAGGAAAATCCTATTATCTTTGCATATAAAATGGGAAACACAGGTGTCCTCTGGTATTCCTTCTCCTACTTAGGCCATGCCTCTCCTGCCCCTTTCTCCTTGCCAAAATAGTGTCCCTCACTCTGCTGGTCCATTATAAGCAACTTTATACAGGAGATTTTTGTCAGCACCTAAGCAAGCAGAGAGGAGGAAACATGGCTCTGGAATCCTCAAGTGCACAGGACAAGGAGAGGAACAAGTCCAAGTCCCTCTCTACCATGCAAAGAAAGTAGGGAGGAATAGTTTCTACATTATGAATTCTGCTCTCCCCCAAAAGACCCATCTTCCTCTCTCCCAGAACCCTTCAGTGTGGTTCATTGATGAAGACTGTGAAACTCATTTGGCCTTCGAGACAATAGGAAGGCCAGGATTCATCTCATGGCCTAAAACCAGGCCCTTGGCTTTGGAGAGTTCATTAAGGCTATTATCAGAGCTCTGTGTCCACCGTATTTGCTACACTTCTCAGCAACCTTTGGGAGGTAGACGAAGATGTTAGTAATAATAGATAACAGAGAACAATCAACACCTCACAATGCTCCATTACATTATCCTTCTAGTATCAAAGGGGGAAAAAAAAAGAAACAAACTTGTTTTTCATCAAAACTGACCACAATCGAATCTGTCTTCCAAGTTGGAAGAACAGAGAGAGGAAATAATTTATGTCCCTGGGAAAATAAATCTCTCTGTGGTCCCCTTTCAATTGCAGAAGCTGATGGACGAGGAGACAGAGATGGGGACAAATGGTCAGTCACCTGGGTTTGGAAAAAATGACGATCCCCAGAGCAGAGACCGAAGATAGGAGTCTACTTCCATTTCTGAGGGGGAGTCTATAGATGTCAAAGAGTGCACAAAGAGATAATAAGAAAGCAACACAGCTGAGGCTGAGGATTATTTTGTTTTGTTCTGTTTCCATTTGCCATTTCAGATGTTTGCTCTGCCAGGATATAAAGCCCATCTGTGCTCTCCAACCTGTTACCCATAAATGCCCCATGAGTGTTTTTCTCATGTCATTCCAAGAAAGGGGGATGAGCATGGCATTTGGTTCAGCATGGGGTAGAGAAAAGGGACCTTGCACGGGAAATGGGAGGCTGGGAACACGGAGTGGGTTCGCAACGCAGCCTGAAGGAGGAGCTAGCTCTGCACTGACATTCATCCCTGGGAAAGCGCAGAAATCCCAGAGAAGACAGAAAACAGAGGGTCTGTACTGACATCCAGGTTTCACTATCTGTACTGTTGTGATCATCATTAATGCCCATTAAGGGAGCCAAACAGAACCCACCCAGCACGGATCCCAGTAACATCAAAGGCTTCTCTATCTGGATATCATCACCAGCGTGCTTTCTCTCTGCCCCTAATAAGTACTCACTTGTCTTTATCCTCAGTGCCTCGTGGGGAAAGCTTGGAAAAGGTGGCTGTTTATGCAGTTGCTGCACAAGGCGAGTACCCGTCTTCAGTCTTAATCTGCTGGAGGGTGACCAGCAGATGTCCTCAAGGTGGCCCTTCCCTTTCCAGAAACTGAAATGTGTCACAGAGCACGGGGACGCCACAGAGTGGAGTCCATCTGAGCCGATGTACACCACTGTGAGGTAGGCGGGCCCTGTGCCCCGCTGACCCCCTTGGCAAGGACACCTTGCCTGCCCCACGTGAAGGGCACCATGTCATCCTTTCTTCTCTGTGCAGGAAGAAAATTCAGTGGCCAGAACTCTGGCCCATCAGAGCCTTTCTCCAAAGAGGCAGCATGCGAAAGTCTTTCCTAATAGACTTGTCTGATTAAGAATCCCACATCTTGTCATCTGAGAAGGCTCCCACATGGCAGTTTGGTGATCCTGTCGCCAAGGCTCTGTAACAGGAGCAGCTAAGCCGACTGTGTTGCAGTTTGTGAAATTCGAGACCACAAATATTTACCAGGGTGGCTGGTGGCCGGTGCGTCTTCCGCACTCACAAAAATGAAGTAGGAACATGATCTTTTCATGCTGTCTCCCACACAGCTGTCTCACACACTGCTTTCCAGAGACTCTAGTGGTTTTTCCTTTTTTCTTTTTTTCCCCCGAATATTTCAACTGTCATTTTCTCTAGTTAGTAACGTATTTTCTTCAAGGTGGAAGGAAAGCCCTTAACGTCTGAATTCCACAAATGAGACCTACTAACATACAACTCTCAGCTACTTGAAGCTGCCCCAAAACAACTTTGTTAAATGCGTATTATCCCGAGTTTCCCTGAGGAGACAGTGTAAACAATTTCTTATGAGGTGGACTTTGGTGTAGATTTCTGCTCCGTGCTTCTGACTAACTTTCTTCCTAGAAAATCTCTGCTGTTTGTCAGAAGTTGTGATACTCGGTACTTTCAATAAAGCAGTCATTTCTTATTAGGACCGGTCACTGTGTGAACTGGACAAGTAACCCGGCTTCTGTGGCTCAGTTTTCTCTTTCACAAAATTAGATTGTTGTATGATCTGCTATGGAGCCAGCTCCACCATGAATCACCACGGCATACAAATGAGGATAATTGAGCACGCCACACCTCCAACACCAGTCCTCGGTATAATTGGCACATCATGAAGGCAAAGTGATGGGAAAATGAAGGGAAAGAACGATATGAGAAAGAGGGGAGGAAGGGAAGGTAATAGGATTCGTCAGACATGAGGAAGCACTGGGCTCCCATTGCATTTGTCATTCCTATTTTCCTCTAGTGAGGAAATTGCTCCCAAAATAGGTACCCCCAATTTTGGGCGGTATACTGATAGGCTGAGGATACGTGAACAGTCTTTATACTTATTAGCAATAGGTTTCTTTTGCCCACCTTTTCTAACCCCAATATCTCATATAGAAAATGTACTCAGTAACAGCCCTGATAAATATTTGTAGAGCAAATATTTAAAGCTAATGTGGAAACCATTTGATAAAAGGTTGATAAGGAAATGGAGATCAGGTGATGAATACTTGAATTCAAGAATCAGTATCATTAAAGTGGAACATCAGATATGATGTTGCTCATGGAGTGATGCAATGTGACCTACACAACACCATATTCTTGCAAAAATCTGGACCTCGACTGGATTAAGGCTTTAGAGCTTACTTCCGGTTGATAAAGCAAATGGCAGCTGGAGGAACAAGTTAAACACCAGCTCTGGGAAATAGACAAATCCAGAATGTAGGACATTCTACAGGCTCAACTCACCAGTATTTTCAACAAGTCAATGACAAGGAGAAAAAGAGAGAGAAACACAGAGAAAGAGAGAAATTGGAGATTACTACTTTGGATCTTGATTGAATCCCAATTCGAACAGATAAATTATACAAAGACAATTGGACTGATTGGAATGTGTACTGTGTGCTAAATGACTCCAAGGACTTGTCATTTAGTCATGGATAATAGTAGTACCTATAGTTATGTAAGAAAGTCTCCATGTTTTTAGAGATGCATATCAAAATAGAATGATGCCATATTCGAGATTTGCTTAAAATACTTAACACACACACATCAAGGGAAGGGGAATCAGTGAATATTGTATGGCAAAATCTTTATAATCACGGGGTCTTGGTGATAAATATGAGGATGATATATGGATTGGGGTACATTTTGTTGTTCTCCATGCTTTAGGTTTGAAGCAGTTATCATTCTCTTCAAATGTAAATACCTTGAAGGATGTTCTGACCAGGAAGGGGCATGGTGAGCTTTTTGGGGGGCTAAAAATGCTCCCTATCTGATGTGGGTGATAGTCACATCGATGTACACATAGGCAAAACTCATCAAACTGTACACTTAAGATCTGTGCTTTGTGTTGCATTTGTTGCTGCATTAAAATAAACTAGCTTCCATCCTTAGCAGGCAAAATTAAATTAAATAAACACCTACATGAATAATTAAACGCAATGTACATCTACTCCCTTGGTCCTATGAGATGCCTCCACTTCAGAGATTCCTGAGAATTCCAACATCCATTGCAAAAAAGCAATGACACTCAGTCACTGGGAATACTACCTCCATGTTTTAGAGACTAGAAAAACTTTTATTACCCAGTTTCTGGGGTGATGGGACTTGAAAAAGAGGCAATTACAAGCATTGGCCTTGAGTCATAGGCATCTGAGAGCACTTAAAAGAAGAAATGAAGGAAAAATGGATGTGTTTTTAGCCAAAGGGATAGAGGGGGGCCCGGAAGAGGGCCTAAAGGGAAAGCAACCTTAAGACGAAGCCAACACAGCCTGGGTGGTGCAGTGGGTTGAGCGTCCAACTGTTGATTTCGGCTCAGGTCATGATCTCAGGTCATGATTTCAAAGGCACATGCAAATACACATCCCACAGTCCCAGGATTGAGCCCTGTGTTAAGCTCTGCATTCAGTAGGGAGTCTGCTTCTCTCCCTCTCCCTCTGCCCTTCCCCTGCTCATTATCTCTCTCTTTCTCTCTCTTTCAAATAAATAAATACATCTTTAAAAAAGAAGATGAAGCCAACAGTGTAGATAATGAAGTGGAAAAAAATAGACAGCATTGGACCACTGGATCAACCCTCACCTGAAGGCCATTCTAATGCTGGACTTGCCAGTTTATAAGAAATAAATTCCCTTATGATTTAATCCTATTCAAATGAAAGTCACTTTCACTGATACAGTGATTCTGTTCTGTACTATGTGACCCCCAACAATAGTCATATCTGAGTGGAAGAAGAGAGGACACCAGACTCTTGAGCCAACAATACACAGTCTGGGCAGGGGTCTATGAAGTAGCCAGATACAAAAGCTCTCTCTAATAGGGACATCATATCTGGGGAAGTCACTGACCAGAATCAACCCATTTGGCTTCATGTCCTTTAGTAAGTCTAATGGTGGTGGCAAGAATAGTTGAATTAGGGGCACCTGAGTGGCTTAGTCGGTTAAGCGCCCAGTTCTTGATCTCGGCTCAGGTCTTGAGCTCTAGGTCGTGGGATCAAGCTCATGGTCAGGCTACGCGCTCAGCGGGGAGTCAGCTCGAGAGTCTCTCTCTCCCTACCCCCTCTACTTCCCCATTATAAGAGAAATTAGACACAAAGAAAAATCATAAGCGCACTCTCAGACCCCCACATGTCACATTGCACTGCCCGAGTTACTACCATAATCAGTTAGTGACACCTTGCCCCTTGCAGAAGAAGGGCCCCAATGGTGAGCAAGGAAGGGAGAACATACCTGATACCCAAGCCTGACACTGCAGGGCTTACAAGACAGACGGCTAGAGATGAGCAACATCCTCACTGACTGGCTAGTTTCAAAATGCAAATCAGTCTGAGAAGCCCAGCTATATGCCTGTTCCTGTTTTTCTCTGATTCTGGCTTTGGGTGGAGACTGCTGACTTCCTTATTTCTACATGAGTCCTCTCAATAAGACCCTCTCGATTCCGATGCTTCTCTTCTTGAAAAGTCAACACTACTTTCAATAAATATCCCATTGTCTCCAACTAGATCTCTCAAAGAGAGAGAGTCTGTCTTCCTTCTAATAAAATTTACTCTTATTTTTTAAGTGTAAGAAATGAGTCTTTTCTCCCAGGACAGCATGGTTTAAGCCACGAGGAGCCCGGTCTGCGAGATCATAGTTGTTGCATCGCTTGATTCCACCAGATGGCGCAGTTGCCGGCTCACACACCCAGAGTCCGGCAAAACTCTCATCACGGAATAAACAGCTTCGCAAAACTCACCGCCTCTCCCCCGCTTCCTGAGAAATCGCCACTGCTTAAAACAGCTACGGTCTCCGTGACTGACATGCTGGACACTCATCAAGTGTCTCAGAGGGTTTTCCTAAGTGTAAGATATTGAGCCAAGCCCTCGGGTAGCAATGGTGTCTGAGACTGTTGGGGGAGAGATGACCGTTTAGCAAATGATCACACACATAAAGGCCAACTCTGATTTATGCTACAGAAAGAAACAAAGGTGCCTGGTTGTTAATGCCACACAGGACCAAGCTGGGGAGGCGGGGGGGGGGGGGGGGGGGGGTGGACTCCAAAGGAGGAAAAGGAGCAAAATTATGGAAGGGGGAAGAGAAAGCATTCTCCCAAACAGAAGGAACAGCAGTTAAGAAGGCATGGAGGCTGGAAAGATTGTGGCACTTTGGAAAGACAGAGAAAAAGAGAAGCCAAAGCTTTCAAACTGAGGATAAGAGCAAAAGAAAGGAAGAGAATTGAATGATCCCGTTAGTAAGTCCTTGGCTTCAAAAAGCATTTATACAATGACCCTCAAATTTATATCTCAAACCCTTCCGTTTGAGCCCCATATATATATGTCCCTACTCAACATATCCACTCAGTTCTTTCAAAGGCACACGCAAATACACATGCAGCACTGAATTCATGGTCTTCTCTGGTCTGATCACCCCTTCCCTGAATGCCAGCGAACGGGACTTGCCCATACGTTCCATTGCAAAATTCAGCAAACAGAAAAGACTGCCTGAATCCTCCTTTACACCATCTACCACCAAATCCTGTTCATTTTAGCTGCCAAATCTGACAGCTTCTCTCCAGATCAGCGATTCTCCAAAGGTGGTCTCCGAACTAGCCACGTTCGCATATCCCGGGAACTTGTCAGAAATGCAAATTCTCAGGCCCCACCGCAGTGCCACTGAATCCAGGGGCCCAGAAATCTGCATGTTAGCAAGCCCTCTGGGGGGATTGGAAGTCCAGCACACTTGAAGAACCACTGTCCTAGACCCAGAGGGCCCTGTCTTGGCCGGGAACCTGTTCCATCATTTCTGATCGGGGCTGCTGCAGCACTTCCCCGCATCGAGGGAAGCCTCCGTTCCAGGTGAATCTTAACCCTGGCCAATACTGTAATCTACTGGGATGCTCTAGAAACGGATCACCGCAGAATCTCTGGGGGTGGGCCAGGTAATCGTTTGAGAGCTTCGCTTTAAAGGCCAAGACTAAGAACCACTACTCCGCTCCCTTTCGTTCCCCTCTACCGCCAGACTGATCTTTTCAAATGCAAATCTGGTCCTGCAATTACCTAAAATCAGCTAGGGTCAAGCCCACGTTCCTGCCACCTGCGAGGCTGGCTAGTGATCTGGCCCCAGCACTTAGAGCCTCGCTCACTCCGGGTTCTACCGCGCTGGCTGTCCATCTTCAGTCCGCAGCAGACTCAAGCTTTCTCCTGCCCTACCTTCAAATGTATCCCTTGCTCTCCTGCCCGAATTTGCTGTTACCCCTTTGCCGGTAACCTTCCTCGTAATCATTCTGCAATCTGAGCTCCAACGTCCCTTCCACAGGGAAGTCTTTCCCAAGCTTCTTTGTCATGGAAAGAGCGGGGTGGACGGGATACGGATTCCTCTCGCTCTGGAAAGTCTTGATCTAGGAGCTTATGGCTCATGGATTTATTTACCTTTAATTTTATACTTATTTGTGATTATTTTATTCCTGTTTTTCTTCCTCCCTGGATTGTAAACTGCAGAAGGCGGACACACGGGATGCACTAACAAATACTTACTGAATAATGGGACAACTCTTTGAGGTGGGCACTAATGAACGTTCTCGTTAATATAAGGGGAAACTGAGTCTACGCAGTTTAAGCATCTTGCTAGTAAAAGGCAGGGCTGGGTTTTGAACCCAGGTCAGGGATTTTCTAACATCATAACCACCAAGCTATGCAGGGGGAGAGCTTTCCAGTGCCTGATCCGGAGCCTGAGTTTTCTTGCTCAGGATTAAGCTTTGTTTGGTCCTTGTTAGAACTGGGCTCAGCTTGAAGGCCACACAGTTATTTCCTTTCCATTGAAATCACAATCTGCTCCAAGGAAATGAAGCTTATGGCTCTCAGGGTAGAAAGGGCAAATGTGTGGGAGAAGCCAGAGATCAAACTGTCAAGTGCACTTGTTATAGAATTTTTCATGAGCTGAATTCAAATGCTATCAGTGGGGCAACTCCCCCCTTGGATTCAAAGGAGTGAGAACAAAGGATGAAGAGAAAGGCAGCTGTCAGTGCATAATCAGAGGCCAGATGGAAGGGTCCAGGCCCAGGGACGCGGAGTAGATCCAGCCAAGGGCGAGGACAGAGGTCACAAGAGAAGGCAGAACAGCAGAAGCTAAGAAGCTGTTTCTCCCTCAGCGCGAGCACAGGGGGAAACATCCGATTCCCCGTGGTTTATCGGGGGGTTCCCTCCAGTTCCACCAGCTGCCCTTCCTCTTCCTGCGCCAGACTGAGTCGAAACTCCAGGAAGTCACTTTGTCTCTCTCTCATTTTCCTCCTGGGCAAAATTAGGAAGGTCATCTTAGATGACCTTGAAAGATGCTCTCAACTCTAAAACTCTGTGGCTCTCTGAACGACACTGTTAGGATTGACTCGGGAAAGGCAGAAACACAGGGGCGTATTGGGAATGATTCTCAACACCAGAAAGATCATGACCCTTTTATGCTACTCCTCCACCCCGACCTCATCTTATTCCAGAAGAAGGTGCTTCAGGCCAGGTCCAGCCAGCTTTGAAGTCCAAATGGAACCATGAAGTTCAAAGCAAAATGAATCCAAAGCACAGTCAATGCCACTAATATACCAACTCCCCAAATTGAGGTAAACTAAACTATTATTACAGAAACAAATATCTAGCAGAGAATTTTGGTGGCCTTATTTCTTGAATAATTTAACTTGTTTGCATGAAAATGAGTGATGTCTAGTCTTAGACGATTAAATCAGAATAAGTCCAGATTGCAATTCACCTTCACATATTTAATATATATGGTATAGTTGGATCAAGACATCTTTATAAGGTTGATGTCGGCACTAGGAGTGAGTAGATATGAAGCAGGACCAGCTGAAAAACTGGAATAAAATCAGCTCTGATATGCCTGGGCTCAGAATGCTCATCCCCCAAACTGCACCTAAAGAAATCTTGCCATCTCTTCAGCCCCGTCATGGACCTGGGAAGCGGCTTTGCAACATAGGCCCCCAGATTCTGTGACCTCCCTTCTACTGAAACATGGTCTGT